GGTTGGGACTTGAATTGTGAAAAACCGCCCGCCCGCCGCCAAACGCAAACACCGCAAAACGCGCAAAACGGACGCCAAAACGCCAACGCAAATGCCGCAAAAAAATCGCCCGCGAAAACCGCAAAAAAAAACTCAAAAAACGCAGCAAAAAAATCAAAACCGCCCGCATCGCACGCACCCCAAACGCCAAAAAACGCCCGTCCGCCGCAAAACGCGAAAACCGCAAAAAAAACGCAAACCCCGCCGCCGCAAAAAAAACCGCATCGCCCGCCGCCAACCGCGAAACGCCGCAAAAAACGACCGCCCGCCGCAAACCGCAACACCGCAAATAACGGCCGGCCGCCGGCGACCGCAAAACGCTGCAGAAAGCCGCCCGCCGCAAACCGCAAAACGCCGCAAAAGAAACGGCCAACCGCCACACACCGCCGCAAAAACGGCCGCCCGCCGCCAAACGCAAACACCGCAAAAACACCCGCATCGCCCGCCCGCCCGCCGCCAAACACAAAAACCGCAAAAAACGCAAACACCGCCGCAAAAAAACGCCCGCAACGCCCGCCGCCAACCGCAAAACGCCGCAAAAAAACGGCCGCCCGCCGCCAAACGCAAACACCGCAAAAAAAACGCAAAAAACGGCCGCCCACCGCCTAACACCGGAAAAACGCAAACACCGCCACAAAAAAACGACCGCCGTCCGTTAAACGCAAACACTGACGCCATTGACCTCTATTGACCTCTATTAGGTATTATAGAGGTCAATGACTGACGCATTAAGACAAATATGGCGCTCTGCGGCAAATGTGGTGCATTCATATCTGCCGTTTAAGCAGCCATCCCTTAATTACAGCGCATCCTAATCGTCCAATGTTCGACAAAGATACGCACATTCTGCGATTTGCGGCAAAAATGGCGCTTTGAGACAAACGTGGCGCACTGAGTCAAACGTGGCGCATTTGTTCCTGTCGCTTAACATTTCATCCACCCACCAAATTCTAGCCTAATCGGACTTAAACTGACAATGTTATGCACATTTGAATATTTCACTGTAAGATATCTCCGCAAAGGAGGTGCCCAAATTTGCACGTGTGCCATGTGACCGCCGGTGGTGTAAGCAGGACTTGTCCCCTCACTGATTGCACCATTTCAGTGTTCCTGGCTTGTGCTGTTTTCGTGCTATAAGGCCACAAATCGGCAAACACACGATAATCTGGGAGGTACGCGACTCAAACACGTGGCCACGTGGCACGTGCCGGACCTCTGATAGCTTCACCGCTCACGCCACGTGATGACCCATCGACGTGGCCATCAGCATGTAAAAGATGACCCCGGCCGGTGTCACCGTCTCTGAACAGTGGACGGCTAAACTCGAAAAACGGGAAAATTTAGGGAAATTTCACCTTTGAATATATAATTTCCCCAGAATTTTGAATTTTTCATTTTACAAAAAATCCGAGATAGCAGTTTTTTAGCCCCCTTCATTCTGTGCCTATACCCGTTTTCAGATCGACCCTATCATAAAACCTGACGGCCTGACGGCTATTTCCCCCATTCCTTGCATTTCACAATGCTAGTATATTTAAGCACCAAAATTGACCCCGTGCCACGGCACGTGCAATAGCACGTGGGCCACGTGACCACTAGTGCGACAAGCTGGACTCATCTGCTCACCGGCTGCACTGATTTGGTGTCGCTAGGTGGAGTGGTTTCCACGCCATAGGACCCCCAGTTGGCCAATGTCGCATTTACCACGAGGTTACCCCATCAAACACGTTTGCACGTGGCACGTGCTTTTCAATCGCCCCATATCTGACCCATACCACGTGGTAGCCGACACCCCGGGACACAACATATTCGAACATTTTCAAAATCTAACGTGGAAATTTTTGGCAAAATCGATTTGAAAATAATTTTTCGAAAATGCCATAGGCTCAACATGGGGTAACTGTCGGCGTCGATTACCCGAAATTTTGTCATTTATATTTTAAATAATTACCCCCAGAAGGTGAGGTGCCAGCCAAAGAACTGACCCTAAAAATGTGGACAAATATTACTGAACAGATTTTGCGCAAATCGCATTTTCAATTTTTCCCCATGTTAACCCTATGGGAAAATGCACGTGCCGATTACCCCAAAACGGGTTAATTATATTTCAAGCAACCGGTACCAGCCGGTAGCTCCCCCATAGGGGACCAAACGCTGAAAATGGCAAGAAAATCTAACGAGCCGTTTTCGAGGGTATCAAGATGTCCTAAATCGCGGCAGAAACGCTAAACACCCCCCTAGAGAGGTAGCTCAGGTTGGGATTTTCAATAGAAAATCACAATTCTAAAGAATAGTGATTGTCTAATTGAAAAGTCCCAACCTTCGGATAGGCCCGGGCAGCGCTTGTCGAACAGCTCTGCGGATCCGAAGGTTGGGACTTTAATTGTGAAAAACCGCCCGCCCGCCGCAAAACGCAAAACCGCAAAACGCGCAAAACGGACGCCAAAACGCCAACGCAAATGGCGCAAAAAAATCGCCCGCCCGCCGAAAACCGCAAAAAAACGCAGCAAAAAAATCAAAACCGCCCGCATCGCACGCACACCAAACGCCAAAAAAAACGCCCGTTCGCCGCAAAACGCGAACACCGCAAAAGAACGCAAACCCCGCCGCCGCAAAAAAGCCCGCATCACCCGCCGCCAACCGCGAAAGGCCGCAAAAAACGGCCGCCCGCCGCAAACCGCAAAACGCCGCAAAAAACTTCCGCCCGCCGCAAACCGCAAAACGCCGCAAAAAAGGCCGCCCGCCGCAAACCGCCGCTAAAACGGCCGCCCGCCGCCAAACGCAAACACTGCAAAACACCCGCATCGCCCGCCCGCCCGCCGCCAAGCACAAAAAAAAAACGCAAAAAACGCAAACACCGCCGCAAAAAACGCACGCAACGCACGCCCGCCCGCCGCCAACCGTAAAACGCCGCAAAAAAACGGCCGCCCGCCGCCAAACGAAAACACCGCAAAAAACGCAAAAACGGCCGCCCGCCGCCAAACGCAAACAACGCCGCAAAAACGCCCGCCGTAGGCAAAACGCAAACACTGACGCATTAAGACAAATATGGCGACCTGCGGCAAATGTGGTGCATTCATATCTGCCGTTTAAGCAGCCATCCCTTAATTACAGCGCATCCTAATCGTCCAATGTTCGACAAAGTTACGCACATTCTGCACTTTGTGGCAAAAAATGGCGCTTTGAGACAAACGTGGCGCACTGCAACAAATATGGCGCATTCGTTCATGTCGCTTAAGAATTCATCCACCCACCAAATTCTAGCCCAATCGGACTTAAACTTACAAAGTTATGTACATTTGAATATTTCACTATAAAATATCCTCGCAACGGAGGTGCCCAGATTTGCACGTGTGCCACGTGACCACCGGTGGTGCAAGCAGGACTTGTCCCCTCACTGATTGCACCATTTCAGTGTTCCTGGCTTGTGCTGTTTTGGTGCTATAAAGCCACAAATCGGCAAACACACGATAATCTGGGAGGTACGCGACTCAAACACGTGGCCACGTGACACGTGCCGGACCTTTGATAGCTTCACTATTCACGCCACGTGATGACCCATGGACGTGGCCATCAGCATATAAAAGATGACCCCGGCCGGTGTCACCGTCCCTGAACAGTGGACGGCTAAACTCGAAAAACGGGAAATTTAGGGAAATTTCACTTTTCGAATATATAATTTCCCCAGAATTTTGAATTTTTCATTTTACAAAAAATCCGAGATAGCAGTTTTTTAGCCCCCTTCATTCTGTGCCTACACCCGTTTTCAGATCGACCCTATCATAAAATCTGACGGCCTGACGGCTATTTCCCCCATTCCTTGCATTTCACAATGCTAGTATATTTAAGCACCAAAATTGACCCCGTGCCACGGCACGTGCAATAGCACGTGCGCCACGTGACCACTAGTGCGACAAGCTGGACTCATCTGCTCACCGGCTGCGTTGATTTGATGTCGCTAGGTGGAGTGGTTTCCACGCCATAGGACCCCCAGTTGGCCAATGTCGGATTTTCCCGGAGGTTACCCCATCAAACACGTTTGCACGTGGCACGTGCTTTTCAATCGCCCCATATCTGACCCATACCACGTGGTAGCCGACACCCCGGTGCACAACATATTGGAACTTTTTCAAAATCTAACGTGGAAATTTTTGGCAAAATCGATTTGAAAATAATTTTTCGAAATCGCCATAGGCTCAACATGGGGTAACTGTCCGTCACGATTACCCGAAACTGTACCCTATGATTTTTAAATAATTACCCCCAGAAGGTGAGGTGCCAGCTCAAGAACTGATCCTAAAAAAGTGGACAAATATTACTGAACAGATTTTGCGCAAATCGCATTTTTAATTTTTCCCCATGTTAACCCTATGGGAAAATGCACGTGCCGATTACCCCAAAACGGGTTAATTATATTTCAAGCGACCGGTACCAGCCGGTAGCTCCCCCACACGGGACCAAACGCTGAAAATGGCAAGAAAATCTACCGAGCCGTTTCGGCGGCGATCAAAATGACCCAAATCGCGGCAGAAACGCTAAACACCCCCCTAGAGAGGTAGCTCAGGTTGGGATTTTCAATAGAAAATCACAATTCTAAAGAATAGTGATTTGTCTTAATTGAAAAGTCCCAACCTTCGGATACAATTATGTAACTATTATCAATTTGTCCTTTTACCCATACACATTACACATCCTTATTCCTCACCAGTCGCCACAATGCCCTCATTCTACCCTTCCCCATGTATCATCACCCCTCCCTTCCTGCTGTGGCACGCCTCCCTCCCCTCCCTCCCGCCGCCTCCTGGGTGCCTCCCCACCCTCCCTGTCTCTAACTAGGTCACTGGCAGCGGTGGCGGCGTCGGCGGCGTTGACCCGCACCGTACACCGTTAGAACTCGCTCCGCCGCGCGCGGGGAGGGGAGGGGCGGGCCGGCGCCGCGCCGCGCCGCGCGAGACTGCACCGCCCGGTGTGGGGATAACACCGGAGACCGCGGCGCCGCACAGGCCGCTAGCACCGGCTCAGCGCTGGCGGGCCCGGACGCGCAGGGTGTGGAGGCAGGAGGGGGGTGCGCCGCGGTCAGTGGGGTGACGGTGGTGGCCGGAGAAGGGTGCGCATCCGGAAGGTGGAGAGCCGGGACCAACATGAGATCATACCTGGTGAGTACACGGGGAGAGTGCTGAGATGGAATGATGGCCTGTTGTGGTGTTTGATTTGGTTTTTGTGGGTGATTTGTAGTGACAGGGTCGGTATTAGGCTTGGTGGTGCGGTGTTAGTGACAGTTTGAGTTGTTTTTAAGGGCTTTCTGCGGGAGTTGCTGGTTTTGTGAGGGGATTAGTGGTTAGCTGTAGTGGATTTGATGTGACCTGTATTTGTGTACCTACTGCAGGACCTCATTGATTTCATCCTGGCCTCCTGTATCCAATTTTTGTTGGCCTAACACAGAAACTCGGTTACGCTTGCAGGACGTTAATTTTTGTAAATGAATTGTGTACCATTAGATAAACCTAGCGTTGCTTTAATTTGTGTGGGCTTATTATTTAAAAAGGACTAATTTATAAACTTTTCGTATGTGCAATATATGTTTTGCTTTGCCTTGAATGATTAAATTATGTCCTCAATTATTACCTCGCATTTTCCATTGTTAATTTATTTACATTCTCTAATAATGGCATGCACTTGTTCACCTCTTTATCCAAAAATTGCCGAAATGTTCCTAAAAAAGACGCGTTCTGGCGACGCCATGATTGGTCACGCTCACGTTGTCATGGTAACGACGCAGCACCGTTCTGCGGTGGCGACCGATAGCAGACGCGTGTGACTGACATCCAGCGTGACCTATATATTATGTTAATAGGTCACAGAGCTGCCGGTTTATCGATGAGACGGGTCCGGCGATTACCGGTCCGGTTTCAGGTCGGCCATGTTCCCACGGAACATTTGAAATTGTTATCGATCGGTTGTGAGCTATGGACGATTTGGGAGGAATGTAACCACGGAACTTTGGAAGAGAGATTGACATGGTTGACGTGGATCGAGGCCTAATGGGTCGGTGCCCGCCGCGTAGACGGTCGTAGGGTAGCTTATGGCGCCTTGTCGTTCATATGGCGCTCATAGGGTGCTCATGAGGGCAGTTTTTTCGCTTACTTACCTTACAGCGAGAAGTTTAGCTCCTTTCTGGCTCACGATGCTCAAAATTCAGCACTGTCCTGCGCTACAAAACATGCGAGCACGCCAGCTTGCAGCACACTGCCGTTGGATGCCTCTCGAAATAAATACTAAATGAGCTGTATGCATAGAGAGGCGCCGGATCATCAATGACGTCACAGTTAGAGCTGCAAAACTATACACATCGCCGATCTGCCACTTTTTATCAAGTTTTGCTTGCTTAGTGCTTCCTTACTCTTAGTGCATCCGTCTAATTTGCATTTGATAACATCAGGCTTATGAAAGACCAGAAACAGAGCAGAAACGGGCACATTATGGTAACATGCTAAACTTATGGTCTTGTGGTAGCTTGGCCAGTAACGCTTTAATCCACAATCCACTCTCTTTCCGTTTTTTTTTTTTAATGATTTTCATAGCTGCACACTGCACATACATAAAAGGTTTCTCGACAACAATGCCACGTGCTCTTGCCCAAATGCACATCACCCTATGAATGTTTCAAAGCGCAGTAGCCTGATTTCACAACCCAGCTCCGTTCCAACTGCACCATTCCGGAACCGTCACGACTCCGGAACCGTCCCAATTCCGGAACCGTTTCGATTCGGTCAATGACGCACTGCAGTGTATCCGGGTGAAATCGGCGGGCCAGTGAGTCATTTTTTCCGAACCAAGTTACTGCTACAGTAGCGAGCGTCACTCCGCCATCACTTCATCACTGGCATTTCTCACTGTTTCCTGAATGAGTCACTGGTAGTGGTTCTGTCACGTGGCTGTATTTTTTCCTCGATTAAATGTGAATGGCGTGAAAACGAACCATTTTAGCGTGCATTTGTGGTTTTTTACCATTACGCCTGAATGGTTTATTGCCCATCATTTCCCTTCTCACATTACTCATAATGAAGTGGATTCTATTTAGGATCTAACTCAGCTGCCTCATACTTTTTGTTTGATTCTTTTTGGATGACTCGACTCCATTCATTGCCCTTCATCTGTGTCATAAGCCACTCTCCAGTGTCCATATGCTTTTCTTGCTCTTGATCTTTGTCAAACACCTCACACCCCTCCAAATATTTGGTAATTACATCCATAATTGTTTACACTTACTCCCCCAGGGCATATTTTAACAAATTTTTACTGCGTCCCAAAGTTGAGCAGGGGGCACGTGCTACGACTAAGGGCACAGGGCAAGGAACAGAGTAGGGCACTGAGGAGGGCAGAAAGTAGGGCACGGCAGGTTGCAGGGCATGGCACAGGACATTTTAGAGGGAAGGCCGGGTACAGGTCAGGGCAGACAGCAGGGCACAGGGCACAGGTCAGGGAACCGGACAGGGCAGGGACGCAGTGGGTCAAATTAGCAGGGGCCACGTCCCAAGGCGAGGGGGCTGCGTCCCAAAATGGGACGCAGTAAGTGCCTTAAAATATGCCCTGTACTCCCCTGGACACAACCTTAGTGACCTAGCTTGATTACATCTTTCCACATTTGTGTTATTTAGTTTAACTACATGACAATACATTTTTTCACACTATCTTCTTCGGTTCATCTCGTATCATCAGACACTTCATGACTTTGATGAACAAAACAGCTGGCTCACATAAAACAGCCGAGTCATGGTCTCGCTGACAGATTGCTTTTCACTTTATGGCTCGATGGACACGGATGTAAGAGAGAAAAGGGCAGGTGGAAAGGATGAGAGAAATGCTAGGTCAAGAGGATGCGTACTGAAGCGAGTCCAACCGAACACTCAAGACAACAGCGAGAAAGTATGTGAGAACGAAGGGTCATGGCATCCGTTTTCCGGAAAAAGAAAAGACGGGTTTGTAATGTTCCATGCATGTCAACCTTTGTTCATTTTGGCAGGGAGAGTCATGGGCAAGACTTTCACTCCTCTTTGCAGGCCTTGCAGCACAAACTTTGTTAGTTCATGAATGACGATTATGCTAAGAAATGTTTACATGCGAGGCCCTTCATTTATCGAAAGTAGCTGTTGCTGAGAAGCTGTCTAGTCATTATTCCGACTACAGAATTCAATAGTGACTTGCAGTAGCTATTTCCGTGACCACACGATAACACGCACGCACAGCTGCTGTACAGCGACAAACGTTGAAATTGAGAGTAAATTCGCCGTGCGTCAATCTTCAAAGAGTTTTTATCTTTTCTGACGCGCTGGCATCGATATGTGCTGTCGTTTGCATAACAGCGCTACTACATATCAAGTCTGCTTAATTTCTGCACAAAATTAGAATCCCACCAATTATTCCTAAAAACGTAAAAAAGTGTTTAAAAAGACGGAAATTTGGAAGTTATTTCCGTTGCCAAAATTACTACGCGCTCATGCACGGAAGACAAGAAATTTGATAATCGACGACCGTTTTTTAACCAAAAACACCCTAGGACCATACCCTTGCATGCCATCTTTCAACCATTGTCCGCAAAAATATCATGACTTACGACAATTCCTTGCAAAAGCCACGTGTAAACCCGCGTGCCACGTGTTTTCAACTGACCTCTCCACTCCGCTGTGACCTTGAACTTCGCACGCGCTCGGTCAGACTGAGTTCTTTCCCAGACTCGACGGAAGTGGTTGCACAACGGTGTACTCGGGCCTTCACCTGTGACCAGAAACAATGTGAGCGAGCTGGTCCCTCCGCACTCCTCACCTCCACTCCTCTCTCCTCCTTTCCGTCCCTCTTTCCCATTTGCCTCCACTTTGCGCTGAATAACTGTAATACGCAAATGCCGCAAATGGGTTTGTTTATGGTTTGCCTTTATGGTTTTTGCTGCAAAGTGAGCTTGAAGGGAGGGCGAACGGATGCATCTCTCTCTCTCTCTCTCTCTCTCTCTCTCTCTCTCTCTCTCTCTCTCTCTCTCTCTCTCTCTCTCTCTCTCTCTCTCTCTCTCTCTCTCTCTCTCTCTCTCTCTCTCTCTCTCTCTCTCTCTCTCTCCCTCTCTCTCTCCCTGCCTCTGTCGCGTGTCCCAGCGCCGGTTCTCGTGGGCCACCGGGTCACTGTCAGAGGGGTCACACGCTAGGTCACTGACTGATTGCGTCATCACCCGACTCTAAAGCCTCAAACGCGGTCAATCGGAAGTGGGCAATCCACAAATGGAGACGAATGAATGATTCAGCGCTCAAATTTGCATAAGTACCCTTCCTCTGTGGATGGAGCGGCGCAGGTCGCCACAAACTAACGGCCAGCGTTGTTCCTCGACGATTCATGCCGACACTCCTCTGTGCTTTACCACAGCGGTACGGTTGACCACGCAGTATAGCCTCACCGGACGGACGCAGACATCAGATGACCCCTCGTGCTTACCGAATGAGGCTGTAGTGCTCACACAGCGAGACGAACCGCAAAGGCTGCGGCTCGGACACCGAAATCGGACAGTGGGCCTCGCGATGGGACGTGATCATGATCATAAGACGCAGCTAGACATGGTCGCGAAATGGCTAGACATGATCGCGAGACTGCTAGACATGATTGCGAAACTGCGAGACGTGATCGCGATACGTGGGTAGACACCAAGACACGACCGAATGAACACTGAAAACAATTTCACCCAAAACTGGCGAGTAAACCGGTGCCTCGCGGGTACCCCTATCCGCAACCATTTTTAACCACCCTCCCAGGAGTCAATTTAGGACATAACACTTTCGCAATTCACTCTGGAGAGAAGTAACCCTCCACGACTATTCGCGCACCAGTGGCTCGCGACCCCTCCATCGAAAGGTATTCATCGACGCCTACCTGGCAGCAGCGCCCTACAAACCCCTAGGAGATGGGGTTACCCTCCACGCCTACCCTTCGCCGACCAAGTCACGAGGGCCAAAAAAAAAAAAACTCCCACGCTTGACCATATTCGCGGGAAAATATCTATATTATAGCAATCTCACACCTAGAAAACATCGGTGAGAAAGTTTCACGTCGGTGGGAAAGGTCAAATCGAATAACCATAGAAATTTCGACATGACTCAGTCACCGACAGTCATGCAGACCGCCCGAGATCAAGAAGAAGATGTGTCGCCGCTGCTTTCGTGACCTATATAAGAATCAAAATGGTCTCACTTGGTAGTTTCGGAAGAAAAAGCGTTGCCAATCGTCCCGTGATGAATATTGCAGAGGTTTTAAAGATGCACCCTAACAATTGTACTTTCGCCCCCACTTGGAAACCGCCAAACAATGTGCCAACATATCATTGGTTCAAAAAAAAGTTAAAAAATTGTTGTAATTCAAAACTGTATGAGACAACGCCATCTAGCTGTAACAGTAGATCCAACTCCTTCAGGGCAGGTTATGTAAAGGTTCGCCATCCACGGATACGCGTTTACGATACCTCGAGTAGTTCCAACTCTTTCAGTGAGGGCTGTGCCAATGACTCGACACCCGCGGGGACAATATCCGGTGCTGGGTAGCTACCTTACTGCAAAATGTAGGTACAGTGCATATTTGCGAGTAATAAGGCAGGCAAGTCTGCTTACCCTCTAGCTAGAATCTGGACATGGCGAGTTAATACACATATACCACCCGCATAGCAACACTTAATTCGCCAGCTTCGGGTGAAATTGTTTTCAGTGAAGGATCGTATCCTTCGTCATACTAGAAGCTAAATGTAAACGTCAGAAGAAGGCAAATTACTAAATACTAATGCAACTTGCGAGACGATATCAACTTGATGATGCGCCAAGTATCTCATGAGTATTGTGAGGCAAAACCCGGACTGATAAGACATAAAATTCAGCATTTTTAGGTATTTACCTCTGTCTAAAACACATAGGCCAGCTGATATAAAACATATAAAATCCAGCTAATATTATGTGAAATCTGTGCCTGAAATTCTCCGCTTAAACTTTACGTGCATTCCTCACGTCAGTCTGCTAGTTGAAAAAGTCTGGGTGGAGGCGACTGTCCGACGTGCCTCTGCGCGCATTCCAGGCGTGCCTCTGCGCGCTCGCGCAGCCCAGAGGAAGTGGGCCAGTCAGCTGACGGAACAATCAGCTGATGTGCAGCGTAGCGACCCGGGTGGGGGGGGGGAGCTGGTCTGGGGAGAAAGGTGACTTCAGGAAAGTGAGACGCGTGGTTTTTGCTCTGACCAGGCTGCGGTGGTTCGTGGTTTTTGGAGAGAAACGTTTTTGAAAGAATGGATGGAGTGAAATGGGATTTTTTTTTTTTCGACGAGACGGGTGATGGTCTTAGCGAGACTGAGGTATTATGGAGAGACAATAACATACTTTTAGAAACGGGAAGAGAGAAAATAATAAAATGTTACACGCAGTGGCGCGGGAACCGGGGGGGCTAGCGGGGGCTGAGCCCCCCCAGCTTTTCGGCTGGGGGGCTCGTAATGTATTTGAGCCCCCCCAGCTGGAGGAATCGAAATCGGAAATCTACCAACATAATTTCATAGATTCATACATGGGCGTGGGAAACGGGGGAGGGGCAGTGGGGGAAGCTTGCCCCCACAACTCTGCGGCCGTGGGGGCGTTGCCCCACAACGTTTCATGAGGCCAGGAACCGTTGGGCAGCTTGTCCTCCCCAAATTAGGGGTTGTGGGTCACAAAGGAAGAAAGCATGTAAGTGAAAAATCCACCTATTTCACTGGCTCGGCAACTCATTTGGCAGATTAAAACCTTTACTCCAGGTTGCCAAAACGGTAGTTTCTTCACTCAGCTGAGACGGAGTGCCTCACTTTTTGAAAATATTTTCGTGTTTTTTTTTTTTGAAAAGGCCAAGGTCTGAAAAATAAGTGGCCTAAAACCGGTGAGAAAACTAGATTTGGGGGTACCCTAGGTTGATTTCTATTATGGTTCAGCCCCCCAGTCTGGAAGAAGTTCCCGCGCCACTGGTTACACGCACCAAATCATAAAGTATCCCGAGTCCAATAGGACGCTTATTGTTACCGATGAAGCCAAACCTGTGGGATTCCAGGGCTAGTACGAATAAGCATGCAACATTCTGAATTAGGTAATTAACTAAGTGTCCAGCACTCGCATCCTTTTCGCCCTGATGCTTATGTAGGAAGCTCGCAGTGGAAGAGGCAGTTTTCAATTAATGCTTCTGAAGTGCCACAGCCGACTGACATGATTTTAGCTGCATGTTGATATTCGTTCCACATTTAGGTGTTATGACTGACTGGTACCTCCCTCCGTTGCAGGTTTTCGGGGCCCTGCTACTGACAGGCTCGGCTCTGACGGCCGTCGTGCCGGTTCTACCCAAGACGCTGCTACCACCACCTGCTGAGCGCTCTGAGAACCATCAACTAGGTGGCGCTGTGCACCAGACTCTGACCGTCGGCTCAGAGGGTGGTGGTTCGGTGGCGGCTCGCGTTATCGAAATCACTGATGACGTTACCGATGATTGGATCAACGAGGTGTCGCTGAAACGAAGGAGACGCGATAACGCACGGGTGAGTGAAATTCGTGAATCGTGATCCTAAACTATTCATGGCCGAGGAGTGATAAGGTAGGTGGGCGTGAATATGCCGTCAGGTAAACAGGTCCTTTACCTATACCTAGCTAAAATACCTTAACTCTGAACAAAGCATCCCACGTCTAATGTGCTAGGCAAACGCTATAACCGGCATTTTAACCCTCGCCCGTATTGGTGTTTTTCCAGCCGCGAACGTATAAAGGGGGGGGTCCGTTGGACCCCCCTCCCCTTGCCGTTTTGCCCCTGATCGAGCTATAAGAGCTTCGCGGAAAAACCGTGACGAGAGGAAGCCGATGATACCTACTTTTAAGGCCGTAGGTCATCGGTTGGCCTTCCAGGTCAGGTCAATGACCCAAGAGTCGGGAAAACCGGGACCTGTTTGAACGTCGTAAAACGTGGCTGCTAAAGGGTTTTTTCGGGGTGCTGATCACGAATGCCATGTTAGTTATGATCATAGATGATGTCTTCATGCATTTAGGCCAGGTCGGGTAAGGTCAGGTCAGGTCAACCAGTAAGGGTTTTGCCGGGTATTCGTAGTAGGTGGCAACCGCCTCTGACAGCTTTGTAACATGTTACGAAGGCACCAAAACTACTTCGTAAATGTTCAAATGGTTGCTAAATTCGAATTCATCTCCAAAAACTAGCAAAGAAACATGTAAAACTCGAAAAAGTGAACCGAGGTCATTAAAGGTCAGTGACCTGAGTCCTGACCTGACCTTCCGGTGACCTTGACACCCACCCTAATGCATAGGAGCAACATCATATCCCATGTTTTGAACGCTTGAAACCACGAAAAGACTGCAAACGCGCGGCTAATGCGAGCCGACATACGCCGAATCGCGATTCCGACCAAACATGGTCTCGAAAATTAGGTCATAGGTCACAGGTCATAAGGGTCAGGGTCATGAAATTTTAAGGGTAGGTATGTGTAAAATTGATTAACGCAAGGGTACTGAAAGTTTCGTCGCGATCGGCCGCTTTGCACGCGAATTATTCGCGAAAAACCGAGGATGGGGGTCCGTTCGACCCCCACCCCCCATACGGGTGAGGGTTAACCCGCGCCCTGCTGGGGGGTGTTTGAACACCCCCCCCCTTGTGGTTTTTCGCGAATATCTCAAAAACGGCGGCGCGGAGCGCCGCCGTTTTTGGTACACCTTATCATACATCAATTCTACACATGTTGTGAAAATTTCAGACCAAGGTCATTCAAGGTCAGGTCACCAGGTCACTTGAAGTGACCTCACCTCATAAAAAGTTTCAATGTCTGTCATAGCTACACCGAGTGACCGATCCCTTTGAAACTTTCAGCGATTGCTAAGAGCAATAGCATGTACAAAATGTATATCTCCGAATTTTGATATCGATGACCTAAGGTCAGGTCAATTTTGCGACCTCCCCATTATACATAAGTCAATGGGAGAAAATCGAAATGCGCCTCTTTTGGACGAAAGACATTATGAATACTCCCAAACACTGAATTACAAGTGGTTTAGACACACTGAACATGAAAATGGTGTCCGTGACCCCTGTTTATGCCCTGAGGTCATCTTAGGTCACGAATGGTATCTAACAGTTTTTCGCAAATAACTTTTGATAGAGGCATGCTAGAGCGATGAAAACGCCTTAGATGTGTTCAGCTCGACGATACGGATCGACTGATATGCAACATGACCCTTTCCGGTCAGGTCATGACCTTGACCTGAGGTCAAATTTTCAAATTGACCTTTCAAGGTCAAGTTATAGTTCATTCGATGCGTCTTGACGAGAGGAGCACGATGCCGGTAAAAGTAAGCTCGTACAAGGCTTGGATCAAAAGTTATTGCAGAAAAACTGTTTCCGAAAAATCGGCTATTTTTGCAGTTTTTGCCCCCTGTAGGCAAAACCGTTGACGTTAGGTCAAATCTGAGAGAATTACCCAGAAAGGGCGTTAATAGGGCTATCGAATGCGCTTTTCCGCAGCGCTTTAGCTCTATAGGTTCCCGAGTTATGCGTTGGCTTCTTGGAAATTGTCGACATTCGACCTGGAAATCGGCGAAATTTTGCCTTCAATGACCTCTGGTGACCTGACCTTTGACCTGACCTAAAAATTGACCGAAGTGATTTCGTCATTATTTTTGACGCTCTTTCGAACGCCGCCTTCCGCGTATCGCTACGTGGCCCAGGAGCCGAGTTAGAAGGGGGGGTGTTCAAACACCCCCCCCCCCCCAGCAGGGCGTGGAAATCCAGGACCCCCAGCCGGGCGCGGGTTAATAAGCCAATTGAAGTCCGCTGATGGTCCGACAGCTTGGCACCTTGTTTGCTCGGTGTTCCACTGGAATCTGTATTCTGCATATTCAAGAGCCTCCTGTTTGCAGTTTCAGCCCACGCCACAATCATATCCATTTTATTTTATTTCCTCCCCTTTTTACCTCCCACAGCCCCTCCTTCCCTCCAACCCGTCCCCTCCCCTTCCTTCCCCTCTCCTCCCCTCTTCCCTCCAACCCGTCACATTAGGTATACGTGACACGTCTGCGGGTCACGGTACACAGGCACCATGTCGGTCCGAGGTGGGTGTCACTGTCACAGCTTCTGAATCTGAGACGGCACCAACACGGTGTGTGTCTGTGTGTATGTGTGTGTATGGGGGGTGCAGAACATAGCGCTATCGGAGGTACGGATGATGCGAACGTTATGCCACTCGAGTGGAGCAGCAGCAGTAATCCGAGTAACTTATCTGGTGTGGCAAATGCTGACTAAGACTTGATAATATCACTCGTGTATTATAATCGCGCGGGCCTTTCTAGCAACACGGCCACCCGACTCGACACTCTACTCGACTCGACGGCCACTCGGCCGTCGAGTGGGTCGGTCCGCTTACCCACTCTCGACAGCATTTGGAATTCTGCGCTGTATGTCAGCACCCCAATGTGAATGTAATTGTATATTAGTCTTTGTCGAAGGAAACGGAAACGATTAGTCGAAAGGAAACACTAACGGGCTTCCTGGTTAATTTTGGTAACGTCCTTTTGGTAAAAAGGTCTGAATCTTTTTTTTTTTTTTTACATACCAGGCTGGCCAAGCATGCTGCTCACTTATTTCTGTCGTTTTTGCTATACATATTTGTTATATATTTGCTATCGGGAACATAGCCTTTGAGGTCATAGCGGACATTATTTACGCTGATTCTTGAACACTGAAATGATTTCCAGTCTTAGATTATGGGTGACCTTGTCCCGGTTAGCCACTATTCGGATGCTTTTTACTAATGTGCTACGTTCCTATAAGCCTAGCTAACTATAACCAAGTGGATACTTGCCGTTCTTACATTTTTTACCTTTCCCTCCGTTAGATAATGTGGTTCCTTCTGGAGAATGGCAATTTCCTTTGTTTTCAAGCTCATCATTTATAAGGGTGACATTTTCCTCGATATTAGGTGTACTCGTACACAACAGTTGGTGGTCCTTACTCCTTGATGTATTCATTTCCATGATGGCGCAAAATTCAACGACAAACCAGAAGACTGTCTGATTTGTCTCCGTCTGATTTGTGAATCGCTCTCACGGTTTCCTCGCCAGCCTTATATCACTCCGTCCCCCGGCTCGCGCGTGTTTGCGCGTGAGTGAATTGGTGTCAGCCTCGCTAACGCGTCCCCAATTCTCTGTTCCAGGTACGGAGACAGGCCGAGTACGGGTCAGTGGACCGGTACGATGGGCCGGTACAGGACGGGTACAGCGAGTACCAGGTGAGCGTGCGGTGCTCTGTTCGGGGAGTGATGGAAGTGAAGGTACTAGTTTGTCGTTGGTGTGGATTACTTAAAAAAGCTACATTGTTTTATTGAAGGCATCGTACTCGTGGTATGCAGATAAATATGGCTGTGATGTGCTGTAATCCGCATTCACTTTGCTCGCGTGTTTGCACAAAAGGTTATCTGTCGGTGTCTTTCCGATCACAACCATGGCGTGATTTAAAAGAAAAGATGCCTTTCTCCATTAGTTTATGAGCAAAATGTCTATAAAAATGCACGCATCGAGCATCGGCACTCGGCAGTTGCCTAAAACTTTTGCTGAAATTGCCATACTTTCGTCAAAATGAGAAGAGGACACTAAAAAGAACTACACATAATCCGCTTTCTCTGCAATCTTTCCAAAATCCAAACCATTACCATGTTTTTTTTCTCTTTTTCTCCGTACAGGACGCCCCTCAGAACGAGTTTTTCCCTGAGGACATTGAGGAGGTCCGCTACACAAACCCTCAGGCCATGGACTCAGAGGCGTCCGCTTCCACGCAGGAGTACAACCCATACCAGCTCTTCCCAGAAAGTGAGTCGGATGGCTGTGGATTTTAGAGCGAAGTTATCCTTTTGTTGGAATAAAGAGATCCTGTGAGATAGTTTGCGGTTGTCCGGTAATTACCTAGAAGTAGTTTGAAGTGTTTTTAGTTTCTCGAAACTTTTTGTAAAGCTGCGTTTTTTTCTTGTTGAGTTCTTTCCACGACATTACGCTTATTTTTCATATTTGATTTTTCAATCGTTTATAAATGGATGCTAAATGGTCTTTGCTCAAAAGTTCAGGACTACGGGTTCTTTTTCGAGTTCTGTTGAACGCTTCAATTGGACGAGTAGTATATGACGATCGATAACACATCACCAAAATGAAATGTTCTGACTGACGTCTGTACTTTAGCCATGGTATTGTCGTAAAGCCTGGCTGAAAAAATGTTTTTTTTTTTGTCATTTCCCAGGTTTCCACGACCTGCTGGACATCCCGATCCACGTCTACAAGAACGGCACCGAGGTTCGCACTCACGAGCGGCCACCATCTCAGCCCGGTCAACCTACCGTCAGCGGAGGTTACGCCAACACAAACCTTCAGGGATACGGCCAGAGCGGCTCCAACCGACCCTCGCCACGTCCCGCCTTCACACGGCCGACGACCCCTACCACAAGACGACCCACAAGGAGGCCAGAGACACCGCCTCCACGTCGCACCCAGCCGCCCAGGGTGACCGAAGTGCCGCACTTCGTGACGACTACGCCACGCGCCAAGATTGTCACGCCGGGAAGCGGCAAATTTGGCGCGCACGTTCCCGAAGATCCTCGCCGTCCTGTAACCGTCAAACCGTCGCACGAGCTGCCCGATCGCGTCTCGGCGTTCGGCTTCGGCTTCGGTGCTGCAGCTGGTGAGGAGACTGAGTCAAAGCCAGAGGTGCCACGAGTGTCACTGCACGAGAAATTGGCAATCGGAAGACGGCCGGAGAAAACGCGCAAGCGCGTGCCGTATGGACAGCGGCCTTCCTCCGATAGCAAACGTCCCTATGTCGACTGGACGAAAAACGAGGAAGGGGACCAAGAAGAGGAAGCCAACACAGAGGAAGACAAAAACATTTCAGGATCTCTTTCAGAGTACTTCGCTGCCAACACTGATTATGCTGCCGCTTTCGGTGGTTTCGGCCAAAAGAAGGACACCGGTGTTGTTGATTTTACAACCACCACCACTACCACCACTACGACTACCACCCAGCCGCCAGCGGAGGAAGAGGTGTACCAAGTCACTCCGAGTGCCGTGGATCCTCCCTCTTGGCAGCTCCAGTGGACTACCCCAGAGCCAGTCGAGGAGCACAAGAAGCCACACAAGAAGCCCATCTTCAAGAAACCGGTGTTCCAACAAGAGAACCTTCCGACGGATGTGGGTGTCGAGTCACCAGTGGATGTGTCTCATCCCGAGCATCGCACACCGACTGATGAACATCAGAAGACGTTCGAACATCAGGAGAACGGACACAACCAGCCAAACACTCAGGAACAAAATCCTGGCTCTCACTTCGGTTTCCAGCAAGAGCAGCACCAGCAGCAACATCCTGAACAGGAAGAGTACCGTCGCCCTGAAGTAGAGATGCCGCAGCAGAAGCCCTTCTCTCAGCCTATCGATCCCTATTCTCCAATCCAAGACCCGTTCTCGCAGGCTCAGGGTCCTTCGTTCTCACCCAAGGAGCCCGAGTTCAATCCCCACCAGGAGCAGTTCCATCAGCAGCAGTTCCAGCCCCCGACTCCGGACCGCGATGCTTCCATCAGCGTCACCAGCGGTCCGAACCTCTCCGCTGGCCCAGGATCCGGCATCCAGCAGCTGCCGGGACCGAATTTCGGCGGTCAGCCCTCGCCAGGACCCGTGGCCCGACCTCCGCGACCCTTCGGACGACCTCAGGGGCTTCCGCCACGACCAGGTCGTCCGCAGAGGCCTCCTGTTGGAGACAGGCGTCCCATTCCGCAGCAGGGACGGCCGGCGCCACCGAGCGGGGGACGTCCAGTGACTGGCTTTGCTGGAAGGCCCCCTGTGCCGCTGGAAACCCGCCCCGTCCCAGGAGGAGACCCAAGGCCGGCGTCGCGTCCGCGGAGACCCCCGCCGACCAAGAAGCCGTCGGGAGGTGGATACCTCGACAGTTTCCTCAGCTGGTTCCGCGGCGATGAGGATGAAGAGGATGAGACATCGCCTAGACCTCTTCCGCCGAACTCTCGTCCGGCGCCTACGGGTTATCGACCCCAGGACTTCCAGCACCGACCTCCAGCGATCTCCAACCGTCCTAATAATCCTCAACGGCCAGGTCTGGCACCCCAGGGCTTCCCTCCAGGATTCGGCGAGGGTCCGAGCCCACCGTTCACCCCGCCTCCTCCTCCTCGCTTTGTCCCTGGCCAAAGTCCCGACGGCAATCCTAGCCTCGAGCGCGCCCCTGGCAACTTCGTCCGCCGCGATCCTCCGCAAGGAGGTGCCGATCTGGGCTTCGGCAGCGGGCCGAGACCGTCTGACCAGTTTGGAGTTCTCCCGCAGTTCCGTCCTGGAGTCGCCGGAGTGCCCAGGCTCGCTCACAGAAGACGAGGGACGGTGCAGAGGCGGCGCGGTCCGGCGGCGTCAGGACGACTGCCTAACCAGCAGACGGTGACGACCAAGACGACGAAACTCACCAGTGTCGCTCCTCCCTCGGAACGCGCGTCCGAAAGTGTCACCGAGTACGTCGTTGCGACACCGATGCCCACGCGTCGACGTCGCCCGCGGCCGCGTCCGTCGGCCTCTCAAACACCTCCACGACGCCGAGTTGACGTCGCTCGACCGGCCTCCGACGATCCGCGTCCACCGCTGGTGGGGCGCCCCACGGCGCGACCGGCAACCCTGCTCAACGAGAAGAGGATCATGGTAGTGGGGCCGTTCACAGCCCCGCCACCAGGTGCGCCTTACATCAAGCACCCCGATGAGGTCACCAGAGGAGATGTCATGGCCAGAAATGCCGCATCGACAGGCACAATAACGAAAAAGACTGCGACAACCTCGGCGCAGTCGGCTCGTCCAGTCGTGGTAGGGGCAACCGCGTCGTCCACCAGCGTCGGCGCCAAGCTGAGCTTCTCGGTGCCGGCGACAGATGTCGCGTCGGTCAGGGCGACCTCGACGCCCGCTGTGGTTAGCGGGAAGGCGGGCATTGCGCAGGCACCGTCACGGGAGAAATCCGACTCGACAACCGTCACCAACGCTGCTAAAAACACGGGAGAATTCAAAGAACCCGAGCTATATGGTGGCTTTAGACCTATCGTTAACTAAAATATTGCGTGACTAGAGGCAAGCTGCACAGTGCACATAGCCAGTGGCAGCTTACGGCATTTGGTTTTCATATATGATATTCATCCTTTAAGGTGCAGAGTGCAGAGTGAAGCTAGTGAATAAGCCTCATTAGATTATCACACCGTTCCCTGCTTCTATCCTCAGGAATCAGAATACAGAAATCCTTCTCCTCCACGCCACAACCCCCTCCGGGCTGGACAGGCAACTTTATCTCATGCGGGCTGCTCCCTTGGAGCGGCACCGCTGCTCCTGAGGGAGCGCACCCCGTAGCCGGGTGCAGTGGGTGCCTTGGGGCTGGATGGCCTGTCCTTGGACGGGCTCAGCCCCGGCGACTCACTAGGGTGCCTGCCCAGACCAATGTCTCCCTCCCCCTATATCCTATCATCCTCCTGGCTCTGAAATGGTCTCATTGGACCGAAAGAGCCTAACCCAACAAAACAAAACAAATTAGATTATCATTGTGTGGCTGATATCACCTAGTTCTAGTTGGGCATCTAGTTAGTTAAATCTTTTTTAATAAAAGTATTTATTTGATATCGTTGGTATGAGGTGCCGATTGTGTGATGTAAGGAAGTCGCTCTGTGTCCTTTTCGTTTTTTTTTTTTTGTATTTATTAATTTGCCACCAAGCCACTGAGCAGCTGTGGAATGGTGGATATTGTGCTGGTTAGTGTTTCATATGTGTGGCTTTAGCAGCGGCAGGCGCTCAGGTTTCTTGTTCATGAAGGAAACATGCCCAACAATTGTTGGCGTCATAAATGCTGTTTGACATTAGGTTATCTTACGACCAGCTTCAGTAGGTAGCGTTGTTCATATCCTGTACTTAAACTCATAATGATGACTTCTTACAGGGACATTTACCTTGTCTTCTTTTTGTTTTCACCCGCTAACCTATTAATTTATTGCGTCCTATCTATTCTCACCAGTATAACGCCTTTTGGGGCGACTAACGGAGCGAGCGAGAGGGTGGGCCTTGCACGTGCGAAATTGCGAGGGGGTACCTCCAACTGACTTGTGCACGGCACCCTACTAACTGGTCTCTAGCGATGTGCCAAATTTGGGCACAATCGGCCCAGCCGTTCTCGAGATCTGGAAGCGGCACCCTGCACGTGCGCACGTGCAAAATGGGTCCCAACTGACTTGTGCACGGCACCCTACTAACCGGTCCCTAACCGTGTACCAAATTTGAGCGCAATCGGTCCAGCCGTTCTCGAGATCTGGAAACGACCCCTGCACGTGCGCACGTGCAGCAGCACCCCAACTCTGGCACATGTATATGCAGTGCCTAGTGGGTGCCTACCTACATGCCAACTTTCAGCGCAATCGGCCAAGTAGTTACCGAGATATTGCAACAATTACAAAAGTGACACCTCTTCGTTTTGCACGTGGCACGTGCATAAGGGGTCACCCACATGCATCGGGAATAGTCCAATACTTGGTAGAAGGAATGAAGCTACCCTACAAAAATTACCGCGTGTAAATCGGTCAAGTGGTTGCTGAGATATAAGCCTCGCAAAAGCGTGACCACGGCCGGCCGGCCGGCCGCTCATACTCAGAAATTTCCGTTAATCTAAGGAAAGACTACGCTCGCTTCGCTCGCTCCGTAATGAGTCATGCCCCAATGTTATTGTACCTTTTTTGTTATTTAGTTCGGCTTATGCTTCGTCATTGTTATTTATTTTGTTTTCTCCAGCATCGTGTATGACCACATGGTTGACCGTCATACTCTTTTGTTTTTATTTGTTAGGTTTGTGCTTTTTGTGGACGCTGTTATGCGTACGTGATCATGTTAACAAATACAGCAAGTAAAGTGAGAACGACGTGTTTGTATCTGCAATTGTATTGTCATTCGTCCCTTTTCAGTTGTACTAGCAAAAAGTTGTGGAAAGAGCCTTTGAAAAACTTTGCATGTCTACAAGTAATAACTTGCTATCTGACGGGTCTACCCAAATGGCCGAGAGGTTAGCGTTACGTCACGGCTTACCTAAACTATTTGAACGTTTCTAGCTTGATACGGGACACCATCTTAGATTCATGGTAATTTGCGTGGCATGTCTTCCCGGGGGTAGAGTCAAACATTACAGATGGCTTCGTGACGTCACGCTTACTACTTAGCCTCTTTGTTAAATTCAATGGGAGTCATTCAAATACATCATATCGATCTCTGTTTTACACCAGTAAGGACACCAAAGTCGCTATACCAGCCAACTGAAAGGTGCGATAGTTCCGGTAATGCACGCCATGCACACTATTGACATCGCAATTCATGGTCAGGAGCTCAGGACTCAGGATCACCTGACAGTACTCATGCAGGCGATAGCTTGATTGTAATAGCAGTAGGCCTCCCGCTTCCGATGATTCAGGGCATATCGCATTGACGTCGAGTGGTCCCTATCAGTCATACCTACATAAGGTAGCATAACGGTGCTTTCCGGGACACCACCACCTCAGCGTCACCTCAAGTGGTTACATACTCATAAATGTGTGCTGAAAGTGAATATGCCTTGTGGGTACCGAGTTTGTACTCGCCATGTTGCAGTTCAAAACTATCTCAGCCTAGGTCATAAATGGTCAAGGAAATTTTAAGGCTATAGGTTATGTGTGATATGCCTCATGATCCATTTTGGGCTAAAAATTTGAAAAAATATAAATCGAAAGAAATTTAGGTCTTGAACTCCCCAGGAGAAAAATCAACCCCCTGTTTTTCCACTAAAAAGCGTCGGAATGGCCCAATATACCATGAATGACTTCATACACGATCAACTTTGACTACCTTGAGGCTTTTTTGCTCTTGAGCAATTGCAAGGTCATGTGACGTCATCAAGGGTCAAGAAAGGTTTTTTGCCAAAAACTCCGTACAGGAACAAGATACAGCCGCGCGGATGGGTTCTGCGACACCTGAGCGAGCGTCATTTCAGCGAACGACATTTGAGCGAAGCCTTTTCAGCGATTATCAATTTAAGCGATTGACTTTTTCAGCGATTGTCAAGTCGGCGAATTCAATCACAGCGATTATCAACTTAAGCGAGGACCAGAATCAGCGAAACCAGATTGAGCGAATATATGGAGGTCAATGGGGGACCAATTGAGCGAACACAGTTACGGTATGTGTCATACTTCAAACTGCGCGCGGCAAATTAAATTTCTTTTAAGCTTGGAAACCACAAAAATATCTGGCCTCATTCTGCAACTTTGATCTGGAAATGTGGAACGTGAGAGATAGGACGATGAAAGGAATGCCAAGGACCAATAATAAACTCGAGGGATGGCACAGGGGGATCCAGTCTATGTTTCAGGGACCTCACCCAAATATCTGGAAATTCGTACGGTGCTTGGGACAAGAACAAATTTTACAACATGGGGAACTGATCCAAATTCAAGCGGGGGAATTTCGCGAAAACAGCACAAGCAATATGAATCTCTGAACAAACGTTTGGTCATCATTATTGGCAAACAGCAGGGGGGGGGGGGGGGGGTGAAATCGAACCGCTGTAATTTTTGAGAAATGTGGCATTAAATTTGGAGCTTAATGTCTAAACTCTGAACGCGACATCCGCCATCCAGTTCCGGATAACCATGACAAGTTCCGGATTCCGGAAATATTCGTTGTACGAACGCTCGCAAAAGAAAAGAGAAAAAAATACACCGTTACGGGACGATGCAGTGTTTCGCTGAAATGACAGTCGCTCAAACTGTAGTCGACGAAAAAGATGTCGCTGAAACATAGCTTTCGCTTAAATTGATAATCGCTTTATTTGATAATCGCTCAATTTGATATTCGCTAAGTTGCCAGTCGCTGAAAATGGTTCGCTCAAATGACGTTCGCTCAAATGACACTCGCTAAAGTCGCTCGCACCGGCGCGGATGGTCTCATTGTGTAGGTACAGCTTGTCAAGGCGCACCGAGTGATATGTATGATGACCTTGAGGTCACGTGACCTGAGGTCAACCTTTGACCTTGACCTTTCAAGGTCAACACATATGTCATTCTATGCGGATTGACGAGAGGATCACGATGGTGCCATTAGTTTGTTCCTAGCTCGGCAACTTCGAAAGTTAGGGTAGTGTGGGGTAATTTGAACATATTTTTACGTCTTCTCCGTTGTACCAAATTCCAGCTCAACCCTGGATGAAGAAAAACTGTTTCAGTAGCGCATGTGTCACTTGCATTCACCATGCAAGCCTCATTTTTGGACGAGCCGAGCATACCTTGAATAGCATAGCATCGCTTCTCCACCAAGTCACGGTGTGTTCAAATTGCCCCACCGTGGGGTAATTTGAACATACTGCCTTTACCTGCCATAAAAACGATAGTCTCGCCAGCACCGATGTTGTTTGACCCATAAACGAATAGGCAGAGCAATTCTAAACATACCTTCATTTGAAAAATCAACACAACAACAAGGATAACAGTTGCAGAGTAATCTGCACGCTGCACACCGGTCATTTGACAGAATTCGCCTCTCTTCAAAACACGCGCACCGACGGGGGGCGGGGTTTTTCGCGAAGCGAAATTTGGTACGACTATTCTCTCACCAATTTTACACATGGTGTACAAGTTTGAACCTCCTAACGTTTAAGGTCAGGTCACCAGGTCACTTTAAGTGAGCCAACCTCAAGTCACTTTTTTGCAACTTTGTCACCGTGCCAGAGCTACAGTAGATGTCGGAGGCCTTTGAAAGTCGCAGGATGTTATAAGGTCATTAGTAGCTACAATTTGTATATCTCTGAATTTTGATATCGATGACCTAAGGTCAGGTCAATTTCTCGACCTCCCCATTATAAAATAAAAAAAAAAATAAAAAAGGGAAAAATCAATTCCCTGTTTTTACCACTAAAATGGGTCGGAATGGCCCCATAAACCATAAATGAGCTCATATACGATCAACCTTCACTACCTTGAGGTCTGTTTTGCTGTTGGGCAGCTGTAAGGTCATGTGACGTCATCAAAGATCACCAGCGGTTTTTTAACAAAAACTCCGTACAGGAACAAGATTCAGCTGCGCGGATGGTCTCATTGTGTTCAGCTCGTCAAGGCGCATCGAATGATATACATGATGACCTCGAGGTCACGTGACCTGAGGTCAACCTTTGACCTGGACCTTTCGAGGTCAACATATATATCATTCGATGCGTATTGACGAGAGGATCACGATGCTACCCTTAGTTTGCTCCTATATTGACTAGTTCGAAAGTTATTCGAGAAAAACTCTCCATACCTAGCGCCGCCATTTTGACTTTTTTGACCCCTGTGACGTCATCTTTGACCTGACCTGAAAATGACCTTTGTAAAAATTGTAGACCTTGTCCTTGCGTATCCCTTGCCGTTTACCGCTTGTCGGTATCTTGCTTCGTTCTCGAGATATCAGGGCGGTCATCCGCCCCCCCGTCGGTGCATAGTTGGCGCAGACCCCCGTCGTTGCGCGGGTTAACAGAACGTCTATCATCTCCGTTCGATAAGAAACTCTCCCAAACCTTACTTCATCTGTTATGCCAATCGGAGCCTGGACATTCGGAGTTCCGATTCTTTATAATGTCCAATTCGGAATTGATTGCACAAAGGTATAGTAGTCTGGACGACATTGGACGATGGCCTGCCACACTTAACCATTTTTATCAAGTAATCGTGCGTAGCATTGATTGGCGAATGGAAAGCTTGTTAAGCTCTCTATAATGAACACTTTTCGGCTGGTAAAATTACATGATAAGCAATATAAATGACGGTTTTGAGTGTTGATAGTTGCATAATTTTCGGACGTATTTGGACAAATAGTTGACTTTAACATTTTTGGACGGAAAATCAACGAAGATGCCGGACATTAGACGGATATTAGACGCACATTTTCTAAAATTGGCATCATTTATCTGCTACTGCTTTGGGTCGAAAATATTGGCAAAAAAACTGGAAGCGTTGTTTTTTCGGAGCTATCCCTGTCTTCATTGAAATTCTCTCACACTCACTCTCAAATAACCCCACGCTAAAAGTTATTTTGCCATTTTTTAAAACAGGGTTCAAAAGCAAATTTCTTGGATTGAAGGCACTGATTAGGTCATTGTACAACAAAAGCCGTTGCGTATTAGGCGCTAGCAATGCAAGAATTTGCGCTGCAATGAAGTTGCAATGACGTGTTGTTAGGCGTTTTTCCTTGCGAAATTGATTTTTTACACTGCGCGTCAACATCTTCATTCCCTGAAACTTAAAACCCCGTTCATATGATAGCCCTTTTAGTTACGGTAATTTCTCTCATTGGTCTTATTGTCATGCCACTCATGGATTTTCCGTAATTTTGTGTTATTCACACTATGTTCAAATTGCCCCACATGTTCAAATTACCCCACCCTACCCTATTTGAGAAAAATTCTACATAGGTATCTAGCGCTACCATTTTGACTTTTTTCACCCCTATGACGTCATCTTTGACCTGACCTAAAAATGACCGTGTAAAAATTTTAGACCTTGTCCGTGCGTACCCCATGCCGTTTACCGCTTGTCGCTATCTTGCTTCGTTCTCGAGATCTCAGGGGGGGGGGGGCGGTCAACCGCCTCCCCCGTCGGTTCTAAGTGGGCGCAGACCCCCGTCGGTGCGCGGGTTAAACGACAAATTCAATCGAGGAAGAATGCACTAGTCATCTTAGCAGCGCCAGGCTCCTAAAGCAAGCAAGGATATCTAAGGCAGAGTATAAACAATATCGATGCGTATGTATATTATTTTTTATACTATACAAACAAGGACAGAGATGCTGCTGAGTCCCCACCACAGGTTCCGGCCGCTGTCATGCCAGTCCCCTCCAGTCACGGGCGATAGACCACCAAACAA